GATAATAATAATAATAATAATAATAATAATAATAATAATAATAATAATAATAATAATAATAATAATAATAATAATAATAATAATAATAATAATAATAACGTTTAACATTTTCCGACCTGGTTAGGATCAATAAGTCTTTATGATCACATACTACGGTACCACATTTTGACGGTAATTATGTGTCATGTAGTTCCACATTTACAGTGAAACTAAGGGCCGTTTATTTGAATATTATTATCCATTTTACTCTAATAAATGCCTAATGCCGGATGCAGTTTTTTTTGCGGTAGGGGTGCGTGCTGAGAGTCGACACCACCTCAGGCCCATCATTCTCATGATGGGACTGAGGGTGGACCGAGGCAGTGGCGGCTCGCTAAGCGAATCGCATCGGCATTTCGGTAAGTAAAATCCTTGTTATTCCTATTTTATGAATAACATTAAACTTGATGCTGTGGATAATGCAAAAGATTTGGGCGTTTTGTTTTGTTTTTTTTTTTGTTTTTTTTTTTTTATAGTAGTCTAAATTTTGCGGTGCGTGTTGCTGATATCTCAGAAAGAGCCAACATGCAATTAGGAATAATCAAAAGATCTTTTCGTTTTCTGAAATCTAAAGGGCTTTTAAAACTGAATAAATCTGTTGTGAGACCTATTTTAGAGTACCGGTACCATATAAGGAACGATTGAAAGCAGTTACTCTTCCAACACTAAAGTATCGAAGACTGCGTGCAGACGTACTGCAAGATGTTTAATATATTTGTTCGAGGTCTTGATAATATTTCTAAAGATTGCTTATTTGATTTCAATACAGATAGTGTCACAGACCATTCATATAAATTAAAGCAGCATTATAGTCTAGAACTAACCCGAGAAAAGGGACATTCTCATGGAGTATTATTAAGAATTGGAACTCATTGTTAGAGAAGGATATAATTGCTACATCCTTATTATGTTTAAATCTGCGATTGAGAAGCTTGGCTGACAACCCCTTAAAAATTTGCGCCGTACACAAATTGAGGGCCTAAGCATTGTATGCTTGGCTTCTATACCCAGGATTACAGAAGTTACTGCGTTCCTTGAATTCAAGTAAATAAAGGAAAAGAGGTATTTAAATTAAAGCATTAAAAATCATCATAAAAACATGGTTCAGATATATTTTATTGTATATAATATTATATATTTTGTTATTATATATCGTCAAACACAATGCATGCAAATGTAACAGTATAAATAATAAGCACATTATTGTTGGAATTACGGAAGTCCATGGCCGATGATTACAGAAAAAGTGATTAGGCCTGCGTGACATTTTTTAAACATAAAAACAAATGTTCATCTTTCGTTACGGTATTCTTCGAAGAGTGATAATATAAGAATAACACGAACGAACTTGCAATAATAATATAAGAACAACACAAGGACAGACACGCGCACTTGACCACCCTCGCCTCCTTTGTCGGAGGCGATGGTAATTATCGTAAAACACAATGCACAAACATTTCACAGAATGGACATTAGCCAAAAGCTGGTGGGAAGTACGGAGGTCGATGTCTGGAAGAGGCTGAAGACCACAAAGAAACTAATTTCGTGACATTTAAATGGATTTGTCTTGATGGTTCATTAGTCCATTGTTCAACAGTTTTAGAAATGGTTTTCTTGTCTACATCTCGTCTCTAGGCATTGACTCAAATATTTTTTAGAGAAACACAAATGCTTATGTATCTTCATTCTTGGAAGAGCAATGCAATAAAAATAACACAACTTGGAATTAACGCAAATGTTTGTACGGCTTATCTGATTAATTAATAATCTCTATGATAGCCGAACATCGCTGATAAAAGATCATGGTGATGTTATGATAATGACTTTTATTATATAAGAATGTCAATTCCGGCCAGCTTGAGGTACTATTTTCGCACCTCAGCCTCAACCATGGTGGGGTTGAGGTGGGTGGACTCATGGCTTTGAAGTAGGTAAAGTGAAGTAAATACATGGAAGACAATGTTTTTAAGATTTATTTTCTATGGTACATCACACATATTAATTGGATCTGGTTGCCGAAAATAAATATCATTTATCAAAAGATCATTAAAGTTTTTCATTATTTTTATCATTATGAAGATAGTACCGGTAAGATTTTTTAAAGTATGAGAGTGCAAATTCTGGGCATCTAGGTGTCTATAATATTCTCAAAATTCCTACTTCAGCCCCGATCATAGTGAGGCTGAGGTGATTGTGGACTCTCACGCACCCCCTATCACCAAGTCCTGCATACGTCACAACTACCACACACATCACACAGGCTAGTTAAATCTCTGATTGCAGAAAATCGCTGATAAAACATCAGAAATTTGTTGGTGCTTCCTTTTGACTACAATGGTGATGTGATGATGACAAATTTCACTATATAAGTGTCATTTCGGGCCATCTAGAGGTACTATTTTCTCTAATTGCTGGTATTAGAAATGCTTTACGTTATTGGTTACGTTTAATTAATGCAGATAATAAAAGATGTATTTACAGTTGTTATAGATTCCAGTTAAGAAGATTACAGTCGAACGATAAATCTTGGTTATACTTTATTAAGGAGAAATTATGTTCAATTAGTTTTGTTATAAATTGATCTTGGTTATACTTTATTAAGGAGAAATTATGTTCCAATGGAATTGGTGACAAGGACCCAAAAGGCCCCACTCTCAGAAATCCACAGGGCCCCCGGCCCCATCGTTACGCCACTGACA